AATAACTTGATTATCTTACCAAAATAGTGATTGAAGCTGCCAAATTTGTAGGCCTAAACCTATACCTTTTGGTGTTTTTTCTCTGTTTACGATATTTTTATTCCCTTCTTGCTTCCAATAAATCTTAACCTCTCTTATAAATAAAGAAAAGTAGAAGTTGATTTGATTTGGATTTATTTGTCATATACTGATAAATGTACTTCTTGAGTTGAATTGGCTTTAATGCTCAATAGCTCAATTATTGAATGGTTCACTGACTTTTACTATTTTTTTTCACATGCTTAAAGCACTTGCAATCTGCAAAAGCCTATCACAAATGTTAGCTGACTATGCCTATAATGAATATGTGTATCTGTATATAAATAGGAACAATCATTTACTGTCTTTGGTTACAATTATGTACATTAAGCATAAAAAAATTTATATTATTTGGATGAATATCATGGATCCTAATTGTCTACGACCTTAGTGAACTAATCAAATACATGATTACATAATAACTCCATGGATGTAGATAGTGCATACACACATTAATGTCTGTCTAGTACTTGTTACTGGTGTAAAATGTTTGTATTCTAATTAAGAGCATTCAATTTAAAAATTTGTTTTAAATGTCTATGATGTGCTTCTTGCTTGCATAAAATGTTTCTATTTTAAAAAATTACTTGTTCTGATTCATAAATTACTTTGTGAAGTTTTTGTTACTGGCATAGAATGTCTGTTTTCTAAATAAGAGTGCTCAATTTCAAAACTTGCCATAAAATGTCTCTGAAGTTCTTTTGTGCTTCTTATTAGTGTGCACGGTCTGTATCCTTATTAATAGTTTGCTTTATTTTAAACGTTACTTTGAGATGCATTTGGAGTGTGTATTATTAGCTTAAAATGTATGTATTACATTATAACCAATGTTTAAGGTTTGTCAATCAATAAATCACTTGTGTTTTACTTTGGTTCAATGGCACATGAGGGATTTGACGGATACTACTGCTCTGCAAAACATGGGAGTAGGGTTGGGGCATTCACATATTGCATATCACAATGCATTACAGGGAATTACAAAGCTTCGGGTAAAAATACGGCTCCAAGTTCCAACATAATTGTGTTTCTCTTTGAGTACTCAGTCGGTTGAAAGTTCACTTAATTCATGCTCAATGACTTTGCTTAGAGCAGGGAAATGTATATCTTATAATTAGAAATTGAGCTACTCTAAAAAATAAGATATTATTTTAGGATGAAAATAGTGTAAGAAGGTACTGAACCAAACCAAACATGCCCAGTCCATCCCTCTTAGGCATTCACTTCTTGCATGTATCCAATCTTATGATTTTACATTATCAGTAGTTTTGTATTGATTTTCACCTGTCTAACATTTCGGTTTCCAAATTCTCAACTTGCCTTATCACAGGTCGATGAAGCTACCTTGACAGAAGACTTGAACCAAACATGGGAGGTTCTTGCAGAACCTATACAAACTGTATGGAACTTATTCTCTTACTTTAATAAATTTTTTATAGTCTCTGCAATATACACACACTATAGCTTTTCCATTTGTGCCTGGAGTTTGATAATTTTAGAATTCGAAATCTGTTTTTTCCCTATGTGCTTTAATTAAGCACTCTTCATTTTGTGCTATATTTTTATACTCTTAAAAAAGTCTTATTTGAATACCTTTTTTATCCCATAAAAGGGATCATTTTCATTATATCATATGTTTCTTCATTTTATGTTCGATTCTGTCAAACTAACTCAATTAAGTTTATGAAAGTAACTGTAATTTCTTCAGTGCACACAAAGCCTCGAAACATGCCTCTTTTTTACCTTTCATATTCACATGAAGGGTTGATAGTTTTCCTATTATGGTTCACAAGAATTTTTAGGGAGCATATTTTTTTAAAGATATTTAGTTTTGCTATTCTAATGCTTTCTAGTGATATTCTCTCTTCAATAGGAGAAGCAGAGAACCAACCATGTACTACTTTAATATTGTCTTTTATTGAATCAAAATTGGAATGTGTATCGTGTTGATTTTAAAATACCATTAGTGAATCAGTGTATGAAACCACAGCCTCTTCACCTTGGGGTCGAGTTGATATGTTTGTCTGCATACATCCTGCCCTGAGACCCTATTTGCGAGTGGTATATATTGGGTTTGTTTGGTTTAGTATTGTCGGATAGATGTGTGTGACTATTCAAATTGAGTCCTTCAAAAGTTTTGGTTGCTTATGAAAAATTATATTTTATTGATCTTTGCTTTGTCTCTTTCATCCCCTTATGTCTACTACTTCGAAAGTTACTCATTCAATGATATTAACATTGTTTCAATTTGTTGATTTACAGATTTTGGTGGTGAAGATATATAGAAGCTACATATGCCTCTGATAATTAAATATGTTAAAGAGCAATTGGATTTCTGACTCTGGGACCATAATACGACATAAACTAGTGTTGGCAATGTACATGACACCAGCTTTATTTTTTGCAGAAAAACTATTATTTTTGCTTGACTACTATTTTAGCAAGTATTAGTTACTTTGGTTCACTTTAAACATATGTTACGTTCTTGCTTATTATAGAGGGGCTTTGGTAATTTTAATAAAATATGTTGTTTTATATTTGGTAATTTTACACATTAAAAAGCGGATATTTATTCATCATGTAAAGCTTACAAATCGAATATTTTTTCTCTATATAAATTTTACATCGCGCATATTTGTTCGCTGTGTAAAGTGTAAAACAACCGCTGTCTATACAACCGATGGGAATGCTCTTATGTTTACGTAGTGCATATTAATCCGATGTGTAAACTTTACACAACACATATTTAACCGCTGTGTAAACATTACACATCGCATATATTATCCGATGTGTAAAGATTACACATCGGATAAATATGCGCTACTTAAAGTTTACACATCGGAAAAATAAGCGCTGCCTAAACATAAGAGCTTTCCCATCGGTTGCATGGACAGCGCCTGTTTTCCGATGGGAAAAATCATATTTATCCGCTGTGTAATGTATATTCTGTAGTAGTGAATTCAGGGGTTTCTTTTCGCGTATCACACGAATTAACTTCACACTTTTTACATATGAGACATTTTTGCATGTGTATTCCCGAAGAACTCGATCATTTTAGAAAGCACTTATTCTTTCACCTCTATGAGATTTTCATCATCGATCTTTAGTTGGAGAATTGTTCATCAACAATTGTGAATAGCACGACTTTGGGTCTTTCATTTCATACCAAGGAATAAGTCAAATTGCCTTGTATGGTAATTCAACAAGGTTTTGCAAGGAACTATCGTTTAACGAACAATTTCGATTCACATGATGTAATCGCATACTGTGTCCTGATGGGTTAGACAATAGCATGGGATACTCTAAATAACAGAGTTTATTAATTCGAAAAGTTCGGGTTTGAATCAATGACAGATCGTGTTGAGTCCACATGAGGGTCTTCGACAGTGTGTCCATAGATTTTGCTTGCAAAATCAATAAATATTTCATCAAGGTTGTCTCAGTTTACGGCGCAGATAAATTTTTAGTTTAGTCATTCTCGTGTTGCGATGAGCACGTTAATAACGGATCAGATAGTCATACACTTTTTGTTTATTCTTTAATTTCTTTCCAAGTACAAAAGTTTGACTTGAGTTGACACTCGATATCATTTCAATGTTAACAGTTGTCATCCAATGAAAATTTAATATAGTCAAATTCAATACTTAAATTTTCATTACCTTCCTAGAGCAGAGGGATGTGAGAGTCTTAGATGTGATTGACATTTTTATAGACGAAATATATATAATATATAACATATATTTTTAAATCAGATTTTGATTCAAAGATCTACTTAAAACCATTTGCTCCCATACCAAATTGTAACACCCTAATTCGTTCAGGTCTGCAGCCCCTTTCGGACTAAAGTATAAACTTGGTAATTGTAAAATTTAAAACATTTCAAATACTTTTATTTAACATAATAACATAATTCATAGCAGAAATATTATGGAGTTTTCAATGTTGCGGAAGCTTAACAAATCACAATCACAAAACATAATTAATTTATGTCTTTTTAGATAAAAATTCAAAACCATCACATCCATCCTAACAATCTCGCCTCCGTCTGCCACCAGGATCATGTTACATCATCCTTTTTGTTTATCTGCGTGTAGCAAATAAAATATACTACACGCTCAGTAGTGAAGCTAATTAAGGATATCAAATGCTTTGAACATCCACTTAAATTGAATCTCAATTCATAATCAAATCATTTGATATAATGAACATAATATTCAATTCAGATATTCAGTATTAGTTCATATCATATCATATCATATCATATCATATCATATCATATCATATCATATCATATCATATCATATCATATCATATCATATCATATCATATCATATCATATCATATCATATCATATCATATCATATCATATCATATCATATCATATCATATCATATCATATCATATCATATCATATCATATCATAT